CCACCTGTTCTAGTCATCACCAAGGAATGATGATGGTCTATCTCCATAGTGTTTTTTAGCAAATGTACTCAACCAGTCAATACAAAAGTGCTCGTAGCAACAGTAACAAAACGTCAGCTGCAGCACCGGCAAATATTTTGCATAAATAAGTTTGAGCTCATCAAAAGAATGCACTTTTTACGACGCCAGACAAATTCATGTGAAAAGTAAAGCAGTAAAATACGGCAATTTGAACGCCAAGACGAACATCATATGGAGCACGCAGACCAGCACCAGATTTATTGTCCGGCAGCACACACACGACCTGCCATTGTGATGAGACAGACTGATCGTCTGTCTGTCTGCCGAAACAGAACAGACGTCGAAGGGCAATGGCAGCTCAAGAGTCAAGGTGCTCAGTCACAGTCAGCCCTAGTGAATGAGAAACACCAAAAGAAAGCGGGAAAGAGACTATCAGAAACAGTCACCGCTGACATAAGAATTATGTGTTCCCTCAGCAACGGGACTTACTGTGAGTGCACTGCCGTTGCTGCTGCTGCACAGACAGAGGTTATGACCTATTGGTCAGAGTACAAGTTCAAGGTTAGCTCGCCGCTGAGGAAGAGAGCGCCAGACATCGATGAAAACTAGCTGAGCTTGTTTAGCCACCAAAAAGACAAATGCTGCTGTGTGTCTAATGTGAAAATGACCAGTTTTGATGGAAACAACTGAACTGTCCACTACTGGTCACAGCAAACGACCACCAATTGGGTACTGAAATTAAAATGCAATTAGACTAGACGACCAAAACAGAGGGAAACACTGTCATTTACTCTGTTGATCAGACCAGAGGACCAAAGAAGTAGACATCATCAACCATAAAAAAAGGTAAATATGTATTCCTTGAGCACGTCAATAGTGCTTTCAATAAAAACTCCTAGGACCCTATTAGACGAATGTAGCAATCAAAGCAAAACCGTCAGCATCAACACATAAAAATATGGCTAACAAAAGACAGTTGTTGGTTGGTCTGTCATTAGCAATGACAAGGTTGAGTGGAACAGTAAAAACATTGAATTGAAAAAGCAAAAATTGGTATTTTAATGACCGGCTAACCTCAGTGCAGAGATAGCAGTCAGAAAACATGCAAGTTAGAGAGCTATCAAAGAAAATCGATAAAAGTGACAAAGAACTTACTGAGCACGGCTTGCAGTGTTTGGTCTTCTAGCAAAGAGTCCATTGCGTTGATGATATTTAAAAGTTTAATTTATTGCAATAAGATAGTACGAAATTGGCTGAGATGCATCTGCTATAAAGCACGTTCAAAAAACAGAATTGAGTGCTTGACTCAAAGATAAGTCAGTTCACAGCGACTGTCTGTTTTGGTCAGTATACAAATATTGAAAACTTCTGATCATTGGTCGAATAAACAGAATATGTCTCTGGTGTTTTCAAAAATAATCATATTCTTCATCGACTGGCCACAGGTGGCTTTAGTGCCCAACAGGGACGATCGAATACTGTTTTTGCGCCGTTTCATTTTTGATTACGATGAAAGTTTTGTTTAAAAAAATTAAACACAAAAATATTTCACATATATTTAGATTGAAAAAATGAGTTGCATATCAGTTTTGACCGGTGTTTGGCGAGTTTGCAGTAAATGAAAAACAAAAAATTATTTGTTTGCGGAGTGGTGAGTAAAACTTTGATTCCAATGGCAAAGCAATTAAAATTGAAAGTGAAGCATTTTGTAAAAGTTTAAATCATTAGAATGCAATGAACTTGCAAGTCGGAAATAATATAAACTCACTAACACTCGCCTACAACGTTGACTCGGCGATCGATGCGTGGACACAACTTTCTCGAACGAGTATCACCGCTTGCTGGCGTTTAGCTGAGTTGAGTCGATGGGTAGGAAAAAGAGAGAAGGAGAGAGGGAGAGAGAGGGAGAAGACAGGCCTGGTCAGAAAGTGCAACAGGGTGTGAGGATAGTGGCCACTACCAGGCAGAGAAGAAGGGAGAGGTAGTGGTTCGAGGCGAGAGGTGAACTTGCTGGCGGATGAGTGCGCCCAGGTAAGCACACTGCAAATTCAAGTCAGTGGCGGTAGCTGTGGTGGCAGTGCTGGCCAGGGGAAACTGCTCGCTGGCTCTTACCTGTTGCCTTTTGCCGGCCTGAACTTGCCTTTAAAAGTTCACTTTCATGTGCCCATTGAGAGAGAGAGAGAGAGAGAGAGAGAGAGAGAGAGAGAACAGCACATCGCACCGCAAGCATCGCCTTAGCTGAGAGTGCTGTGTTCGTTCCTCTCTTTGCCGTGGAAGGTACTGAAGGTGATGGTGTGTGTTTTGACCACAGGTAGGTACGATTTGCCACAGTCTACTGACTAAGGCCACCGACGATACATCGTCAAACAATAGTGCTAATGTGAGGTGATCGAAAACAGACGCCAATGGAGCAAACAGCGCGAGGAGGTCATGCCAGTAGAAGTGAAAGGTCACTGAGAGGACACCAAGATGCCAAGTTTAGCGGTGCAGAAAATTGTGTTTGTTGAGCGCCTCTTCAGTGGTCAGCAGTGCTTGGTGCCACCACGATCCACAGTTTTCAATGTTCACATGTTCGATGTCTGGTAGTCAGTGGCAGGCAATCATGAGGCAGTCATGGTAGTCCTCCCCGTTCCAAGCTTCCTTGCCCAACACTTTCCTTGATTGCTCCCATCTGTGGTCATTTCCAGTGCAGTACTGAGCTGCAAGCACTGGCGCATGCAACTGGTGGTACAGTGTCAAGTCGGAGGTGGCAGTGATAACTTGCGCCAATATGGCTCAGACGTCAGCCAAGTTGGCCGCTCAAGTAACGGTCTATTTGCTTGCAGCAAATTATTTCCCTCATTCTCAGAAACGGTCCAGCGATGTGAACGTAAACAGATGATGAATGGTGAACCGTACATTCAATGACGAACGAAGCACCAAACAGTTGAACATTTCTGCCCTAGGAAGTAATAGTGATGGCAAATATTCGGCTTTTCTAGCCATTCTACTTCTTTGCAATGGTACACATGGCACCAGCATCTACAGTCAGACTGATTAATGACCGTTCCCTGTCTACCAAATTCGGTACAATTCCATGATCTCCCAAACTTCAAACCACTGTATGTTTGATGTCAAAAGTCTGTAAAAAACTGTAGAGAAATAGAAAGCTTTAGCAATCTGTGTCGATAAATGTTTTATTTAATAATATTTATACACATGAAAATTCAGTCACATAAACGAGTTTATACTGAATGGAAAAATATACAGCAATAGGTCATAGTCACTACATTTAATAATAAGCGTTCCAGACTTCTTGGAGTGTTGAGAAAGTACAAAAAAGTAAAATACTTTAGATTTTACATAGCAGGTTAAGTGGGTAGGAAATATTCTTCTAAAACCACGCTGGTATATTGGAAAACCTGAAATTAAAAAAAGAATATTATTAGCAAATGGTCAAGTAACTAATATTTAAGAAAATATCAAAGCTCAAATATGCATGCAGAAAGTTGAAATTTGAGTTTGCAAGTGAACAGTTGATAAAACCGAAACCAAAGTGCATCACGATACAGATTTAGAGAAATCGGTAAAATTGTATCTTTTTTATTTTAGCTCATTTTATAGGCAAGTTAAAAAATTAGATTTAACGAATCAGTAAAAAAGAATCACATTGAGAAGACATAAAATTCCATCATTATAAGTTGAGCTCAATGTAAACAGATTGATTCGAGCCAAAGGTCATAGTCAATTTTAAAGCAGTCATGGTCAAAAAAGGAATATGTCTGCGCCAGCTGGGCAAAGTTGGCACTTGAGATCAGAAAGTGTTTAAAGAATGTTTGTGTGTGCCAGTTTGAGTATACAGAATGTAAGTAAGTTTGTTTAGGACAGAGGTATTAAGGCAAGGGGAGGGATGGGTGTAGAGATGCAAGTGGAAAAAAGTGGATAATGAACATAGAAGGTACTAATTCTGGCAAAATAATAGAAATCATGTTTAAGTCCACTTTTAAACAATGAGTGGGTAGAAGTATAAAAAATATAAAATTAGATAAAAACAAAAGTAAACAGAAATGAGAATTTGACTAGATAAAAGTGGAAATGCTTGAATGAGGGTCAAGCGAATATAGCTCGATATTGATAGGAAAAGTGTATAGAAGGGCCTCTAAGTACAATACAAAGGTTTGTCTTTGTGAAAGTAAATAAATGTCAATCAACTTCTACAAAATAATGATAAAAATACCAGAAAATATTGGTTTAGAAAAGTAGATAAAAAGTAAGGGGGCACTGAAAGGGTTGCCAAAATAATAATACAGTGTAATACAGTGAATACAAAATGCATTCTTTGCAAATGTCGCAGCATTTGAATAATTTTGAAAATAATTTTGTCTATCATAATGCTCTACTTTGAAAGCAAATAAAAGTTAAGTGAGTAATATGAGAGAACATTAGATGATTGCTCAGCAAGAGTACATTGGCAATAATTTATCATGTATAAAGATTAGATAGATGGGGAAAGAGAGGTAGTGAAAGAATACTGGTAGGAAATATATAAAAATATTTGATAGGTATATCAAGAGATAATTCTTACCGATACATAAATAAGGCCACACAGGGGCACTTTCATGACGAAGCCTTTTTGTCGGTAGAGCTTATCGCTGGTGGCTGAGCTAGTGAAGATGGGAGGTATGATCTTGCACTCTTCCTGTAGACTTTTGGTTTTCCATACGTAATATAGTAAATTTGAAACAGAGAATTCAGATTTCTAAATTGGGCTCAAGTGTGCCTTCGAAAGGTAACAAAGATGGGCTGATGATCGGGGAGAAGATAGACTCAGTGTACGTCAAAGCAGTACAAGAGAAGTAGCGTGATGAGTAGAGAGAAGTTGGGGTTGAAAGTGAAAGGTGATGATTTGCCGATGAGGGATGGCTTTTCCGTAGTGAAGATGAGATGACGAACTGCGTGTGAGCAGGTGATACAAATGCAGAGAGTGGTTACATTACATTTTAATGTCGATTACGACGAGAATCTCTTTCTGAATGTCGGTCCCGATCGCGGTCCTCTTTTCGGTAACGGTCTTCGTAGTGTCGCTCACGATCACGAGAGCGCTCCCGCTCGCGGTACTCGCGTTCTCGGCTGCGGGAGCGTTCTCTACGAGATTTCTCCCGTCGTGAGCTGCCACGGTCTCGAGATCGTTCTCGAGATCGAGGGCGTTCCTTTCGATGGCCACCACCACCGCCACCGCTGCCACCACCCCCACCGCCTCCGCTACCGTGGGTCAGCTTCGATTCGAGGCCTTGAAGGGTATCTTTGAGAGAGGCAAGCACAAGCTGACAGCGTTCATCCTTTCCAACGCGCGACTGAGAAATCAGCGAAATGGCAGTTGCCAGTGTGTCGCACGCAGCATGATAGTCACCTAGGGGCAAAAGGGGTAAAACATTACAAGTTATATTACAAAATGGGAAATACACAAAAGAGCACATGCAATGGAAAGAAATGAAATATATAAATTAGTGTTATTTTATACCAACAAGGCATTCAATCAATGTATTCTTTAGAAAAATGACTAAATACACGAAAATACTTTGCGATTTTAACAAAAAACAAGCCCTAGCAAAAGACTAACAAGGGAAACAAAAAGTTATCACAGAATGGTGATATAAAATACGACTAACACAGAAGTAGTTATCACAGGCAGTTTTGTAATGGAGACAAAGAGAAATAAGACGGTTAAGTAGTTAAGTAGTGGAAATAAAGTAGGAATCGATCGACTATTGCAGAGATCTCTGTTCGGTGTGTGTGCGTGTGTGTATCGCAAAATCGTTATCACAAAAAGTGTAAAAGCATGAAAAGCGTCCTGAATGCTCTATAAAACTGACAGGTACTTGATAAAATAGCAAAGGGATAGAAACATGAAGATATGCGAATAAAGCAAAGGTAAGAAAAAAGTAAAAGCAGAAATGGAACAGAATATATAGAATCTAAAAGATGGATAACAAGAATGGAAATTTACCAGAAGTAGCGTCAGATACTGCGCGAGATACGGCGTTGGTGGCGAGTGTTTTGTTCTTAGCGAGAATTTCTTCAAACTCTGCGTCAGTCATTGGAGGCATGCCCATGTCTAGTACTTGTCGGCCAAAGCCATCATTTCCTGGGTGACCACCCCCGAATGGGTTCATTCCACCAAATCTGTTGCCAAACTGATCTCCAGGATTCACCAGACTTTGCTGGGAGCCAAAAAGTGCGTTCACATTCAACGCATGTTGGCCGACACTGCCCAAACCGACTTTAAGTAGAAAAGGAAGGAAAAACGAGAAACGGTTAATTGTGTGACAAAGCAAACAAAAGAAGCAACAAAAGAAAGCAAAAAGCAAAGATTCCGAACCTTGAGACAAACGAAAGTCACCTTGGTTAGGTGCAGAAAGAAGCGGCTGGTTGGACAGTGAACGAGTATTACCTTGAGGCATTCGCAGCATAGGATTTAGACTCGGACCTGAACCGTGCAACTGATTATTGCGTGGTCCATTTTGTTGGATTAGCTGAGTCCACTGTGGATTTGCTCCTCCAAAGCCTAACTGTTGGTGTGGCGGTAGTTGAGGAAGTCTAGGCTGACTGTTCAGCAGAGGGCCATTGGTTGGCCGGCCGGTCAGACCAGTGCCTGGCCGACCCGGCAAGAGTGGAGGGCGATTGCTTCCAGTGCTCAGCATCATGCCTTGATTTGACGGGTTTCCATAGTTTCGGTTGCTGCCCATACTGTTCTGATTATTGTAGTTCGAGTTGCCGATACTGCCGCCTCCGCCGCTGCTGTTGTTATTACCGTTGTTGTTGCTTCCGCCGCTGTTGCTTTGTCCATTCTGTCCAGGTTTGCGAGACTTCATTTCAAAGTGATTTAAGTTCTGTCGATTACACATGGTCACAGCGATGGCTTGGCCGTAAAGTTCACTAGAAATAATTGGGGGAAATGTTGAATTATTGCTCTTTGAGAAAAGTATTAGGCACTACAAATCTCAACTATATTTAAAATCGGGTAATTTTCCAATGCTATGGAAGAGATAGAATATCTGAAGTTTAAACTCATACCTCTAACGAAACATTGGTGAAGATTTATCTTTAAACAACAAATGGAGACTTACATTTTAGGCAGCTTTTCAAGAGCAACTCGAATCGATGAATCCAATGACAAAGTTACGACACAAAAGCCTTTTGACTGACCATTGGCTCGGTTTTCGAAAAACTTTATCTCAACAACGTCATTCACACCAACACTATTGAGAGCTTTAGTCACGTCTTCATCGGTAGTCCACTGTATGATGCAATAAGTATTTTAGAAAAGCTGTGTACTCTTAAGCGTAGAAATATTACCCAAGTGAGGTTTCCGACGTAGATGCATGGTTTCTTGCTAGAGTTCATCGAGCTGATCTCACTGCTGCTCGAGCTGGTGTGACTCTGAAGCAAGTTTGAGCTGGAATTTGAATGGTTCGACTGCTGGTTTTGGGCAGCACTTCCATTGTAAAGTGAAGGCGTAGTTGGAGCGGCTTCTTCAAGCTTGATTGAATTAATACTCGCGCCATTACCGGCATTGTTGTTGCCCGTGGTACGAGACTTGGAACTTGCAGTGATTACATCATCGTACAGGTCTGATTCAGTGTACTCTACCTCCTGAAAGAGAATAAAAATAAAAAGTTTTTGTAAGTATAATTGAGTTATTGGCGAGACAAGGTTGCAGAGGAGCTTACTTGTGAAAACTCATCGCCAATATCATCGGCATACAAATCCAGTTCCGCTCCTTCAGCCATGATGTTGGGTGTGATATCTGGGCACTCAAGCACTAATGAAGTGTAATCGATCGATTGGAAATACAGGTGAACACGTGTCAGAGAATGGAAGATCCGGTATGGGAGAAAGAAGACCGAAGTCTTTGTGTCTTCGGTAGACGATGATGTCGTGCAAAATGGGGCCGAGTCGAGCAGCGCGAGTGTGCGCAGAAAGAGCAAAAAATTTTCGAGCGTGCACTGCGCCCTGCCCTCCGCAGAAGACGTGCTTCAGTTCAAAAAGTAAACAATCAGTATTTGCCGATTTGAAAAGCTGTCGCCATGAACATCAAAGATGAAATCTGCGACGAAGAGGTTGGAGGAGGTGAAGTCGACTGCGATGTCCTGCTGGAGGAGCACAACTTCAAGGTGCCTTCTTTGGTGAACAGCTCACTCAATCAAATGTTCTGCATTGAAGCGCCGGCAAAGGTGGAAAACTTAAATAACTTTGTCAGATGCTGTGGCGGCATACGAAGCCTGGAGTCGATCTTGTTTACGCCAAAGTCGCGACTGCAGTTTAAATTTCGTCCAGACGATCCAAACTCAGTTCCACTGTTTTCAGGCCGAAAGAGTTCAACAGACCTGGTGGTAAAGGTGCGAAGGAAAAAGAAACCAGATGGGACGCACGACTACAAGTTTGAAACGGTCGGCGTCATTGATACGACGTTTCATTTTGAAGACAAAATCTGTGATCTCCAACTACTGCCAACATCGAGGTCAGTTGCGTTGTTTTACTGCTATTTCAGCTAATCATTTCTTTTGTTTTTTCTTATTAGTGATATTCGTAACGAACTCCTCAAGTCGGATTTTATTTTAAACGGTCCCGCTAGTAAAGTGACGGTAGATAAAGACAACTCCGTTACTATAATGAAACACTTTTTTTACTCTCGATTCACCACGCAAAGAGCTGTCTTCTTTGAAATGAGTGAGCAATCCAAACAAGAACCCAATAATCCAGATGTAATCTGCCAGCTTCGCAAGCCAAGGCGAATGTTTGGCAGTTTTGTCAAATGGGAAAGTGAAACGGTTCCTGAATCGCTGTCAGAGGAACATAAAAGCCGAATACCGGAGGCCACAAGTAATGATCCAGTTTTGATCAAGATAAAAGAACTGTTTGATCAACGACCTGTGTGGTCCCGACATGCACTTCTAGTTCTTACCAAATGTCGTAACACAAAACTGAAATACTTGCTGCCAATGTTTGCATTTTGCTACCTAAATGGGCCGTTTCGAAATCTCTGGGTTCGCTATGGCTACAATCCTAAGTTGGACAAATCATCAAAAATGTATCAGTCAATTGAATGTCGTTATCGAAGCCTTCCTACTGAATCAATGCGTTGCAAAGTGACACTTTTCAAGGATCACAGTGTGTCCTATTTACCGGATTCTGTCAGTCCGTTCCATTACCTCGATGAATCTCGTGTTAGCACAGCCTCTGGCGACCGAATTTTCAGTGAAGATGCCCCACATATAAGCGATGACGATTACATTTTCCGCCCAGGTCACATTTCAATTTTCAATCGCGCTTTTTACCAGATTTGCGACATCGACGTTCCTGAGGTTAAGCAAATTATTGCTGAAAACGACGGGCAGGAGGTTGAATGCACTGAAAAAGACGGCTGGTGCTCCAAAGATGCTATCGATCGAATTCGCAAAATAATGGTTGAAATTGCAAATAAGACTTGCTACGAAGCCACAGGCAGTCATTTTGATCCAAAGATCACTTTATCTGATTTGGAGCAGGCTGAAACTGAAGATCAACTGATGATCGAAGACGAAAATTTCTGATTGTGCGCTCACTTCGTAATAAACATCAGGTAAGTTTTCTCATGGATGAAAATAAAATTGATTTTATAGTTTATTGCATAGTTTACAGAAAATAAAGTAATATTGCATTTTGTCTAGGTCGAACAATACTGGACTCACTTTTAAGGGTCATTTACAGAGATCAGCGGATTTTGATCCTGCTCTTGTCTGGTCACTTTGTTTTACACATGCTTTTAATAAAAATAAAATATTTTACCATAAAATTTAAATAATTCAACTATTGAATGGATAACAAGTCAAATAGATCTGATATTTGCTTATTGCTTCAAAGTTTGGACAGGCAAAGTGTGTGTTTGTGAGTGGGTGTGTTTATGTGTTGGGTGAAATAGAGCAAGTGAATTATATAACTTAGGCTTTCTCTGATCACATGGCATGATAATAGTGGGCGATGGAAAAGAAGTCGATGAAGAGTTGATGGTCAGGGCTAGTGAAGGGTCTCAGATGAGGCTAACAAAAACGCCACCGATAATAAAAAAAAGGGGAAAACGGAATATAAATAAAATTGCAATTAGTTAAGAACTAGTCGGTGTAGTGAGTGACTGAAGGCAGATGGACCTAGGGTGAAGGATGCTTAGAGCTAGAAGTCCACACTGCTGCTGCAGTAGCTGCGCTCAGTTGCTGGCCACTGCTGTGGGCTCCTCGATGGGCACTGGGGCCACTACTGGCGTCGCCGATCCATTGACCACGCTGATCTTCTTTGACCTCGCCTTGCGCTTCAGTTCCTCCTGCTGGCGAACGGCGACGGCGGCGACGAGGGCAGCACCACGGCCTGAGCCGTCCTCTGAGAGCATCAGCGTGTGCTTGTACTCGGGGTTCGTCAGCTCGGCCACCTTCTTCTCCATGAGCACATTGAACTGGGAAGAAAGTAAGAAAGAAAGTTAGTCTTGTTAATGTTTTGTCAAAGCGATTTCGATAATAAAATAATACGCTGCCTTTTGGGTAATGCCGCTTACGTAAAGGACCGGCTGAGCAGCCACACCGGCAACAGATGAGTCACGCTTGTTTACAGTTGCAAGCGTTGCTATCAGCTTTTTATTTTCAACGTTTTCCCAATTTTAAGTTCGGTCATGTCTACTTTAGAGGTATGACCACAATCGCTCATTATTCAACTCGACTAATAATCTTTTGGTCTAGTATCATACAGAAATTACGGTGAAGCAGGTCACTGATGGAAAGTGGCAATGCCCAATCGAAAGCTGCACTTTTAGTAATGGCGGTTTTTTATCCGTGATGAAAACCCACTTTCGAAGTCATTTCAAGCATCTGAACTGGGTCAATTGCAAGTACTGTTTTAAATCATTACCAACGGTGAATAGTTTGAAAAAACATCTAGCAAGTCAACACATAGTAAGTCAAGAGAAGGCAGAAGAAGGAAGAGATTGGGAAGAGAATAAGGAACTTCTTCAAAAGGAATCACAACTCATTGAATCAGCAAGCAAAATTACCTGTGCAGCAGATGAACTCGATTTACCCTACAAATGTGACCAGTGCTCACAGCAATTTGTATATGATTCTCTCCTCAAAGTGCATAAAATGAGAGATCACGATCAAGGAAACAAATACAAA